CACCGGTCTGGTATGTTGCTGTAGGGTAAAACGAAATCTGCGAGAGGAATTCAGTTCGTCTGGAGCGAGATGGCGAAAGCAGTGCCGGGAAAAATGAGCACCCCGTCGACTCAGGTTGGACCAACGCGCTTGCACGCGGGTCTTCTTTCTGTTGTCAGTTTTGACGGCCGCTTTCAGCATGTCAAGCCAGTGGCGCGTCAACATTTACCGACCATTCCCGCTTCAAGCGAATCGTCAGACAGGCGTGCATCCACAACCAGTATCCACAACCAGTATTCCAGCGCCTAAGCACAGCCATAAGAACTCAGTTTTACACCGTCCGCTCATTGGGGCAAACACAAAGCACACGTTTTGACGATGTGCTGTTGCGCTCTGCCAAGCCACAATGTCTGGAGCACTGCACTTGCGCACTTTGTCATGTTGTTCCAGGGAGACTACAGGCGCTCTTGCATTGGAGGGATGCCCATCGCATGCCCTGCTCCGTAAGAACGTCACCGCACCCATGGAGAAGAGCGCCGAAAGCACTGGAGCAATATCCCAGGTTTGGAAAGCGCCCATTACCGCCTCCGAAAGTGACATGACAGCATTTCGCTGCCTCCAACGGATGCAACCGAAGCAGAATTGCACTGTCATGCTGCGGACACTTCGACAGAAGATGAGAGGCAGGGAGCACTCGGGCACAAATGCCCCAGTCCAATATATGCCCGTCCGCCACCTGTCTTTGCCTTGTGTCTGACGCGCCATCCTTCTGTCACAGCGGGACTTGTGTGCGCACGAATGGGACTACCGGAGGGACTTGCACATCCGCTGCAAACAGCAACGACAGGCAGCACCCAGCCCATGCCTGCTCGGTATGCGTCTCCTCACATTTGGCTAATACCTTACACCAGCAACCTCACACCCAAAACCCAAAACCCAAATCCCTAACCCCACACCCCCCGCCAACCCTCCGCTCCAGCTCAACCCATACCCCATCCACGGCTCCAAGCACCCCACGTCAAATCCCAGTACACATCAAAATGCTGTGTCGCAAGTTGCCAAAGTGGCGTGCACAGGAGGCGAGCAAACAGACACACGACCAAATGCAAACGCTCAGGTACACTCCAAGGAACCCTGCACATTCTTCGCACAGCCCAAAGCGACGCACGCTCGGGGCGCCAAACCCACCCCACGAACACATCTGAGCCGGGGGAGATGAGTGCACAAGTCAAACCCTTTGTATACTTCTTTGCGCTTGCTTTGGCTCATGGCCTGCCACGCCAGTCCTTGCATGCTCCCTTAGCACCGCACACTGGTCTAAAAATGGCGCCCCAGCTGTGCTACATCACGCCAGCCTCCCTCAATACCTTGCCCGCTTGTAGTCCTGGCTCCCCTGACTGGCGTCGTAGCCATACCCAGCCTGGTATTGGGTCGCTGTGCCGTCCCGCTTCTGCCCCGCAACCTGCTGTCCAGCGGCTTGTTGTGCTTGTTGCGCTATCTGCTGCCCATACACCCCTTGGCCATACCCCGCCTGGCCATATGTGTGCTGAGCAGCCCCGTAACCACTCTGGGTGGCCGTGCCATAAGCTGCCTGTGTAGTCCCATAGCCTGCCTGGGTTTGCGTCTGCGTGGCTCCATAGCCTGCCTGGGGCTGTGCCTGCCCATATGCTGCGGCGTATTGCTGCTGTTGCTGCTGCTGGGCAGTGCCGTAGCCCGACTGGTAAGCAGACTGGGCACCATACCCCGTCGCAGTCTGCGCGGACTGAGCGGTGTAGGCCGTAGGCTGGGCAGCGGCAGTGGCATATTGCTGTTGATACATTGCCTGCTGGTTGTAACTTGATGGCTGCGTGTATGCAGACTGGTAGTACCCTTGCTGGCCATACGCCTGCGCCTGCTGTTGGGCTTGAGGCTGCTGCGCCTGGGACTGCTGGGTGGCTTGCTGACCAGAGTACATGTAGCCCTGGCTCCCGTACCCTGCGGCCTGTGCACCCCCTTGCCTTGCCGGCTGGACTTGCTGCCTGCTCGCCATCGTGGCCGCCTGGTACGCACCAGCTGATTGCTGTTGTGACATGACCTGTGGTCGTGCGCCTACCTGTTGGGCGGGGCGGGGCTGGGCCGACGCCTGTTGCGACGACTTTGCAGCAGCGGCTGCAGCTGCCTGCTGCCGTGCCTGCGCTGCTGCAACAGCCTGTTGGGTGGCCTTCTTCTCTGCAGCCAGTTGCTCCATGGCCTGCCGTGACTGGCGCTGAGCCTGCAGTACCTGGTTCTGGTACTGGGCCTGCATCTGTGCAGTCTGCTGCTGGTACATCATCTGCATCTGGCGCAGCTGAATCTGCTGGTGGGCACGCGCGGCATTGATCTGCTGCTGCGCATAGGCCATCGCCATCATGTTGTGCGATCCCCTTCCTGCACCAGCAGCCTGGGCGGTGGGCTGCACTCTGCCTCCCATCCCGTAGGAATGTGACTGCATTTGTGCCCCATAGCCGTAGCCCTGTCCAGGCAACCCACGCCCTCCCCTGCTTGGCTGGATGCTGTACGGTCGGTTGGCCGGGGGAATACCTCGTCCACCCCCAGCACCCCTGCCACCTGCATACCCATACCTCTGACTCTGTGGAGTCCACTTCCTATTGTACAGCCTGGTGCGCTGTTCACTGTCCGTCTTGGAGGGGTTTACAAACGTGATCAGCAGGCAACCCAGCTCCGGATGGTCCACCCGGTCCAGAGCCCTGAATGCGGCATCCGCATGGTCGCTCCTGCTGAACTCGACGAACCCAAACCCCTTCCCATAGCCAGTGATCTTCGTCTTACCAAAGTTGCAGGATAGGACGGGCCCGTACTGCCCAAAGATACGTTTCAGGACACCATCGTCGTCTTGGAGTGGCAGGTTGGCAACATAAAGTGTTCTGCCAAACATGGATGCAACCGTTCGGTTCGTGGACCATTCTGGTCGGAGGATCTTTTCACGGACCTCACTGCGAGCTGGCTGAGGCATGGGTGCAGGTGTGGGCGTGGCCTCTTTGTGGACAGACTCGACCTTCCCCTTTTCCTCAGCCACCTGCACTGCAGCATCTGCTCTTGGCTCTTGTGTTGCAGCTTCATCTCCCCCCATCTCTTGGTCTTCGCCTCCTTCTGTATCCTGTTCCTTTTGGGCCTCCTTCTCAGCACCTGCTTCAGCACCAGACTCAGCAGGAGGTGCCTCTTGATCGTGCTCTTGGGCCTTTCCATCATTCACAGAACCATCCTGGCCATCTGCAGCCTCCTTTTCGCCCTCTTCTTTTGCATCCATGGGCTCGTCCCTGTTCCCATTGGTCTTGGCAGCAGTGGTGTCCTTGTCATCCTGCCCGCTGCGAGGTTCAGCATCATAACTCTGCCGATCGCTCCGCACGTTGCTGTGCCCCCTCGTCTTGATGGAGAACAGTCGCTCAAAGGTCTCTGATGCACGCTTGTCCAATACCTCCTTGCACTTTGCAGCAGCGCTGGGCAGGGTGAACTCCACAAACGCATAATCTTTGCTCTCCCCATCCCTGTTCCTCATCGTGAAACAGCGCTCCACCTGGCCGTACTGCTCCATGGCCTCCCTCAGCGCCGCGTCGGTCCCCCAATCCGCAGGCAGGTTGCCCAGGAAGATCGTGACCCTCATTTCCGACGCCTCCACCGCCAGCTGCCTGTCCTCCATGGACACAGGCTCCATCGCACACTTCCGCGAGAAGAACCGCGCCACCTGCACGATGTCCCCCTTCTTCCTCCCATCATCAAACTGCACCTCCAGTCCCTTCCCCCCGGCCCCACCCTCCTTCTTCCCCTCCTCTCCGTTTCCCTCCTTGTCCTGCTCATCCTCCTTCCCCTCCCCAGCCCCGTCCTTCTCAACCTCAGCGCCCGCCATCGCCTCCTTCCCCTCCCCCCCTTCGGCCTCTTTCTTCTCAACCACGCCATTCGCCGCTGCGTCCTCCGCCCTCAGCCACGGCAGCGGCGGCGGTTCCAGGCGCACGTACCCCACCCCGCCCCCCTCCCCATCCGCCACCGCCACGCTCCTCACGGGCAGCCCCTTAGCCTCCAGCGCCGCCTTCAGATCCCCGTCGCCTGCGCCCGGCGGCAAATTCCTGACCACCAGCAGCGGGCACGCCAGCCAGGCCTCCGGGATCTCCATACACTCCCACTCCGGCGGGCCGAAGTCCTCCCCTCTGCCGCCCCCGGACGCGTGCCTCCCGCCCTGGACCCGATCCTCCGCCTTGCCTCCACCCCCCGCGCCGTCCTCGGCAGCGACCGGCGCCTCCTCCGGCGCCTCGTCGCCCTCGGCGGCCATGCCCGGCACCTCCGCCTCGCCATTGATCTTCTCCCCCACCTCCTCATCAGCCTCCCTTCCCTCAGGCCCCTCCCCCTGCCCCTCCCCTTCACCCTCCTCTTCACCCTCCTCGGCCGATTCGCCGTTCTGCTGCGGGTCATCGGCAGGCTGGGACGTGTCGCCGGCCTGCCCATCTTCCTCGGGTGCCGGCTCGCCCCCCTGCGCCTCGGAGCCCTGGATGCGCATCAGCAGGTCGGCCTTCAGGCCCTTGGTATCCAGCCCGCGCGACTTGAGCTCAACCTTGAGCTCGTTCACCGTCCACCGCTCCAGGGGCTTGCCCGAGGACGCCATGGCGGGCGGGCGGCGGCGGGCGCGGCCGTGGGGTTGGCTGTGCGCGCGTGCGTTCGCTGCCGGCGACGGTTGACAATGAAACGGGGGTTTTCCGGTTGGTGGCGGGGGGAACAGGGCGCCGTTGACTTCTTGGGGCGCTTGGTTCGGGCCGGCCTTGGTTCGGTTTAATGGCGGCCATTTGTCCCCGTGTTGCCTCATCTAACCGCACATTTCCTTTGTGCCTCTGCCCGCGTCCTTGGTGTCGTACGATTTTTTCGCTGAGCAAGGCAAGGAGGTGCGCTTTCCGATTTGCGGGGGAGTCCCTTTGTTCGAAACTACAGTGTAATACATTGGAATTCAAAGAAAAAAAGGCAAGGAGGTGCCCGTTTCCTTGGTGTCGACTTGGGAGGCGGTCAGGAGAGTTGACAGAATTCGCCTCGATATGTAACATTTCTGAAAGACCAGCGTTTGGACAAGGCAATGGTTGCCCCCCAGCGACGTGCGAGGTTGGGACGGCGAATCCCATGGATGGGGGATGCCAGGCGGGCCTTGCAGCTTGCCAGCACAGACAGGCACAAAATGGCTTCGTGTTCAACGCCTCACAATCATCACACTTCAGCAAACGGCTGTTGACCTGCGCTTGGGAAATGCCAACGGCGGAGATGATGCACAACCCAACTCAATCATGGAACAACAGGTTGGAAGGCACGGCATAAAAGCTTGGAAATGCAGAAGAAAATGTGGTTTCTGGCAGATAATTTTGACGCCAGCACAGTTTGTTTCACACAAGACAACAGAAACAAGGAACAACGCTGTATTGGAAACCCTTTGAACTATGAAGTGGATCTACTTGTGACACCTGCCACAAATCAGGACAAGCTGGCTTGCCAGATAGATGTGTGGCGGCCACATTCGAATAACAGTGCATACGACACATATCATCGAAGCTACAACGTCGACCCAGCCTTGTCAGATGGGGCCGCTGTACGAGTGGATTGCCTTGGAAAGGCAGTCAACAAGCCAACTTCCTACCTTCAGGACGCATTAACGTCCAAGTTTCACTGTGCGCTACTAGGAACAGCATGGTGGAGTTCAGGCTAGCCAGCGTCAACGTGAATTCGAAAAAGTGTGCACAACTGACTGGGCCCTGGCAACAGGCCAGATATGGCGGTTACGGCACATGGTTGCCCTTGGATCTGCTGACAAACTGCTATCCGCACATCCTGTGGTGTGCAGGGGATGTAGATCGCAAGGGTCGTAACCACACTGATGCGCACCTCTACACGCCAGGGTGTCCGCTGGTGTCATCATGCCTGCGACCTACGACGATCGCCATAATGGTTGAGGAAGCAGACTGGCAGCACAGAAGCTCCCTCGGATGGCTTGCGTTCAGAATGCATCCCAGAGCTCTGTTCAATGTGTTGGTTGCAGATGTTAGACCAGAAAGAAACCAACGCCACAAACGAGACGTTTGCACAGCAGATGCTGACCACAATTCTAAAGCCCCCGTTGAGTTGCCGGCTGTCAGGCCGTACGTCCCAAGCGCCTGTGGAAGTCTTGCTGTTTATTTAAAGGTTTGGAAGCTTCAGCCAAAGGGCGCTGTGGTGTGTCGGCTGGTCCTGTGTCTGCAGCTTGATCTCAGCAAATGAATGGTACTTCTAAACACAGATTTGCGTGCTGAGACATCGACCATCGCCTTCCAAAGGTGTCCACGTGGCAGTGTTTTTCTAACGCCAGGGTTGGATGTCCAAAGCGTCAGGCGTTGCTACTTCGAGAACGGACATACAGTGGGCAAGATTGAGGACAATTATCACTGCCATAGCCACAGCTTGCAGCAGGCACACAGCACTTAACGCCGTGGCCCTGGTAGAGGAATAATCAACTCCCCAACCTTTCCGTTCCCTGTAGTGGAGTCTGCATCACTTCTACCTCCAATCTGAAATCCTATTGCCCTGGGCAACAAGTCCCCCTGCAGACGCCAACATTCCATTCTCTTCTCCCCTCCCTTCCCTCCGGCCCCAATCTAATAACATCGCACAGCTCCCGTGGAACTTTGGACAAGGGTTATTGGCGTCTGCACTACATTGATGGCTGTTGTCGGGCGGAATACATTTGCATTTACATTGGATTGCTGCCAGAGCTCGCGGCTAGTTTATGCACTTCCTGCCACTGCCAGCATGTGCTGTCTTTGTGTTGCCCTAGAGTGTCTGTTGAATCAAACTGCACTGCTATGCATGTTGGCAATTACAACATAAGCTTTCGTAATATGTTGGTGGAACTGTCACACATAGTGCTGCGATCCCCAGCTGGGCTCAAGCTCCCTCACCCAGAGAAACCAATGCATCTATGGTACAAAGTGCTGACAGACACCATTCTCAGGACAACTCAGGCATTCGATGGAACAGCAAGCCCATGTGGCATCCCAATGCACCCTGGCCATCTGTCCATTAACAGTTCCACATAATTCATGGTCTGCCACAGGGTTTCCCACTGTTTCGTGTTTCTTCCCCAAAGGCACCCATCAGTAGCCAAGCGCTGAACCATGTTACTAAGCATGGCTCGCACTGATACACCGAGCCTACAAGCTTTGCACAGGCCCACGCGATTCTGCCAAGTTCCACAGCAAAAAGCCAACTTTTTTGTGGAACAGTCGCAGCATCACAGTCACAGTTACGAGGACTCAAGCCAATGGCAGTTTGTGGGTTCTTCCCACGGCAGCTGCTATTCGAGACCTGAGTCAGAAGGGCGAGCAAGTCAGATTACACACGACTGGCTCAAACTCTACAAGAAGGCCAAAAGTGAGACCTTCCAATCTTCCCCTGCAAGAGTTATGTGCAAACTATGAGCTGGCAATATATGCAGTGTGCATGCCACTACAGTTGCAAATCACGGGCGCATCTATCGTTTCGCGTTCAACTTGGCAAGACTGCCTGCGCAGATTCCAACCATGCAGCAAAGAAGCAGGCACAGATGACAGAAAGCCTACAAATCAACTGACTCTGTGCCCAGTAGGTGGACATCCATCAGCTTGGCGCTGGCGTAGGATCAGGTGCAGATGCTGCGGCGGGCTAGTCGCACAATGACCTTTGCATCTGGATGTGCTCAAGTGGACAGAATACCAAAGCGGCAGGGTTGGCTTCTACAACCACAGCCTACATGGGCAACGTGCAAACATGCACGTGGCTGGGTCCACAGTCTGAAATGCGCATCGCATGGTGGATCGCATTGCGGAGCCCAGGTGGATTAGCAGGCTGGCTGATGCCTCCAGCAGTGGCTACTCAGGTGGGGCTCATCTGGCTACTCGGTGTGCTGCCTGACCTTCAGCGCAAAACCAACCAACCAAGACACTCACAGGAAGCTTGCAACTTGCAGTGATCTCCCACCCAGATGGCTCCTGCAACTGGGAATCCAGCAGTGAAACCATCCCCAAGGTTGGAGGCTGCGATGAGCAACTGGGTCATGCTGCTACCACAAACAAGTGGACCTGGGTCAGCTGCTGTTGAATAAACTGGCCAGCTGCTAAGCGCATCAAGATAGACTGGCACAATCGCACAGTTGCAGAGAACAAACAAAACAAGTCCATCACTGAGAAACAGAGAACATAGCAGAGCATCTGACGTTTTTGTGCAGTCGCTGGGCGACATTCAGGTGACAGTTGTTTAGCTGGACATGCTGTGCTCAAACTCCAACAATCCCAGTAACCTGAACAAGACCGCAAATAGATATGCAACAAACTTTACCAGCAAACGGCTGTTCACAAAGTCAGCGAGATGGAGTGCAATGAGCTAGCATTTGTCAAGTACAAAGCACAAGAGATTTTTGCACTCCACTGCACACAAGATCACCATTCCAGAGGCATGTTGAGAGTGGCCAGCTCACCTGGACAAGGGGCAGTTGGCTGTGGTGTGTTTGTGGGTGCCAGGCTATCTGTCACCTGATCAACTACGAGGCCAGATTCTCTTGCTGCAGGTGGCCTGTACTCAACAGGGCTACCCACAACGTATGCTGTCAGGAATGGGACGCTGGCAGGCCTGGCTGCTGGCCCCTCGGGTTGGGTTGAAGACATCTGCATGCGACACAGCAGCAGTGTCTTGCATATAATTGGCATGGAACAGTTTAGACACAATTGTAAAGCCATTTTGCTTATGCTTGTTAGCACACAACCATATGGTGGCATTGACCAAAGCGATGACGATCACACTTCCATCCAAGAATGGACATTCACTTTGCAGCCAGCCAGACAGGATGGTGTGGATACAAAACAAAATTTGGAACCAGGCACCAATAGCTCTACCAAGTAATAGGACAGACAAGTGTCTCAGATAGACTAATTGTACAAAAGCAAGCAGGGCAGTTGGAATATCACCATCGAAAGCTATGGATACAATGACAGTGTACAATGACAATATACCACCACTGATGGATACTGATAATGTACCACCATCAACCCATACACAAGGGTACAACACCACTGCCAGCATGGCCCTGATCAAGCGATCTTGCGAAATTGTCTCAAGGCACAACAGCCTGAAGACACTCCGCTGCATTTTGACTCTTTTGCGTGGAAGCCCCAAGGACAACAACAACTGTCTGCTTCCCCTTCAAGCCCGAGGAATGCGCGATCACTAATTGACACACTTGACACGGGTTCAACCTAAGGCAGTGGCCACACCATATGACTAACAATATACCTGGATGGCAATTGGCCGAGCAGGTTGTGGCCACCCATGCGACTCAAACTTTCGGTAGAGGACCAGGGATGCCGTGCAGTGCAGCAACGCCAGAGTAAATGCCAGCACTACCAGCTGCCAGATCTGTGTGAAAAGTATGAAGATGTGCATTACCAGCCACACCAAAGCCATGAGCATGTTGGCCTGGTACAGATGGCAGCACTGCCGATTGCGCCCACAGCCGTCACTGAAAGGGCGGAAACAACCACAGAAGCTTGGGTTTGGCCATGCTGCAGCCACTGCTAGTCCTGCAGAGGAACCACACAAGCTGGCTGCAAGGGCTTTGCCTTGTCTTGAGGGACATCTGCCAGGAATTTGGACAGATCACACTCGCAAGGATGTTCACTTCAGCAAGGACACTGCAAACTGCTGCCATGGCAGGATATACATACACTCAGCACATACACACTGCTCACACACTTGCCACTGCTTCCCAATTCAGAAAAAGAGCCTTCCGCACACTTCATTCAGCCTTTTCCCACAGCACAGCACTAGTGTCAGAGGACAGCACAAATGGTCAGTGCAGAATGTCAGTTGGAAGCTGCAGATATAGAATGACCGGAGTGTTTTTAACACCAGGTGCTGTCATGGGCACATACCTGACATGATGGTAATAACGGATATCAGGACCATGGCAGCTCCTGCCAGGAATACAAACATCACAACAGCAAGCAAAGTGCTGTTGACCTCGTCTGAGGACTCCTGTTGCTGGCCATCAGGATGGTGGTCCATGCCTGTAATTCCAGCAGGCAAGTGTTGAGCGTGTTTTACAAAGTCCTGTTCGCCCTGTAGCAAGCACAAAACCAGATCAGATCTCCACGCAATTGACTGTTGAGCTGTGCGAACCTTTAATGGCCACCCTTTTATGGTGCGCTCACAAGCTCCCACACCCCACTAGAATCCAGCAAATCCTGACATTGTCTGTCTGCATTCCTAGCTTGCCTTTCCAGCGCCTCTCCTCCCTGCACTATGGGTGCACAGTGCTGTTCAAGGCCTTGTACACTCTGGAATGACAATGACTTGCCCTCTGCAGACACCTTTGCAAGCTCGCACCAGGGGCTGTGTACAAGACAGGATCGCGGTTTCTACAGCAGGCCAAGCCTTCAATGGTAGATGGACTGCACTGTCCGCGCACAGAAGAAGGCCACCCAAATGACCTGATTGACAAGGAGGACCGCATGCCCACACAGGTGGCAATCAACCAGGGCAGCTGGGATGGGCTCATTGGAGATTCGATCTGCGTGAACAAGGCCGCCGCAAATCAAAATACACAGCAGCCGGGTTCCCAGGCACCGGCGACTGTGCTGCAGGGAGCGGAACAACCGCAGTGCCCAGCCCAGATGCACAGTGGTGCCTCCCACTAGAGCAGCCGGTCCCCTCCTCGGCACGTGGACCTCCGCCACCTCAAACACGGCGAAACCGACGGCCCCCTTCCATGCCAAGGTCGTCACCCTCCCACCAACCAAGAAGCTTGAAACCACAGGGGCATCTCCGAAATCGCCCTGGTCATTAAAAATGGAAGAACGGCGGCAAATAATGCGCTAAAGGCACGCTCACGACCGCCCCGCCCTTCCCCCCGCGGGTGGTCCCTCCGCGCCATCACCGAGACCCCTCTCTACTCGGGTGACCAGATTACGACACTGCCCCACGTGACCCTGGCCTTCAACTGCATTGCACCCCACCGCCTCAGCCGCTGTCAAAAGCCGGCCGGATGACGGCTACGAGACGGCAAATGCAGTGGCGCTCACCCCTCTGGACTTCCGGCAGCGGCGCTCGGAGATCCCGCTGTACCGCCCACAATGCGCGTCCCAAGCTCAAGATCAACCAACTCCGCACTGGCAGCCTCCTGGGTGGCCGGGCAGGGCGCCAGCGGGTGTCCTGCAGCTGTGCTTGCCGAACGGGATGCCCGCCAGCCTGCGGTGTGCTGGGTCGTTAGCTGTGGTGTTGGCCCAAGGGGCGTTGGCCCCCTCGAGAGCACGATGCTTTTCATGGGCGCTGGGCGATGGCGGGGGCACGATGGGGCTTTGGGTGGAAGGGAACGGTCGCACAACGCGCGCGAGGGGCGCGGCTTACATGGACTACAATGTGCCTGCGCAGGATCGATGTGCAAGACGTTCCTTAGATTGGAATCACCAAAAGGCCCGGCTCCCCCCCCCCCCCCCCCCCCCCCGTTCTCCTGTTCATTGCTCTGCCCTGCTGTGTTCATATTTATCAGGCATTTTGCGACACGGCGATGTCTCATTCTCCAGTGCAGAGAAAGCACGAGATGAATCGGAGCTGGGCGACGAGTAGCAGATGCCATCACAACAGTCCTTTGGTGCTTTTTTTAGCAGTAATTCTTGTTGTGCGCAACAGACGTGCCAAAAAGACATGCCAGAGTCCCTGTACGTCGCAGGCGATGAGTGTGTCATGCAAGCGCTGCTTGCAATGCCACTGTGTTATTTCAATGGTGCTGACGCGATAATTTGTCGAAGCTGCTCATAGAACGCAACAATGTTATTCACGAAGCCATGCACTGAGACGCGTGGGCCTTGCAGTGTGCCCGCCCTCACAGAGCCAGGATACCATTGTGTGTGGCGCAACTCAAAGTTCCAGCTAGCGTGCACATCACAGAACTGCGGCCACAGCTGTGAGTGGCACAGTTGTGTGACAACGCGGTCTGAATATAACTCGATGTGCCACTGGACGTTGGCTTGAAAATTCTGCATCGATTGCGACGGTGCAGTTGTCTTAAGAAGGCACATACAAAACTAGGGGTATGCTGCTGAAAAAGCACGCCAAATCTGCCAGATGTGGTACGTGTTCAACGCAAAATATCCGCGGACTAGCGCATAAGGTAGCGTCCCGGAAATTTTATGTGATCGGGAATTTGAACGCCTCTAATATTGCCAGTTCATGGCTGGCATCTCTCAAGGTGCGAAGGTTCAACGTGTCCACGGTGGACATTATTGAACTGAAAAAGTCCGTCCAATTCCCTGCCAAACAGGAAAAAGGCGTTTGGTTGTGGCTGCTATGTCTTCCAAACGCAGCCACAGCTGAGCATGGCACCATTCTAATAAACATTAAAAACACACCCCATGTTGCCATTAAACCTCGATGAACATATCACTCCCCAACGAACGCCCTGTTAGCGCTGCATGCCTTTGTCTTCAGTAGTCAGAAGCACTGCGTATACTGTGCCAAGACAGTGCAGTGCTGCCATCAATCAAACAAGTCCCCTAGCTAGGCACTTCCTTCCAAAATCCCATGGAAGCGGATGTGGCTGCGAGGCTTGCAGCATCAGTCCTCATGAGCCAGTGCCACAAAAAGCAAAGCTGTCTTTGTGAAAGCAGGCGCCAGCTCCTCGAACATGTGTTCTTGTTGTTCCGTGGTCAGTGTGGGGCCGATTCTGTTCATGCCTTCAACGAATGTTTCCAATGGGTTTCCAGTGGACTCAGGGTATGACTGAAATGCGTTGGTTGCACCTCGAGTTAATAAGCCAAGCTCCTCAGTGGCCCTTGCACCTGCGGCCCACAGACGTGACGTTAACTTCATTCCGAAGTCAGCAGGGAGACAACGTCCAATCTCTCCTAAACAATAGTGCGCGGGTGAGACAACGAACTGTCGTCGTGCCATGGAGACAGTTGTATCAAGGCATCTGTCTGAAGAGCATTTTCTCGCCATTGAGAGCGCGGGGCACCGATATCATGTCACAATGCAAAGTTGCCACTTTTGTCTCATCCCCCAAGGACAACTCAGAGTCTGAACTCCTTGCGCTACACTTGCATTAACATGACAACGCCAAGCCGTTCCAGTTTACAGGTGAATGGTGGGCACATATACACATCCAGAAATTCACTTGTCCGCATTGAAGTTGTGTTTCATGGTTGTGGCTAGGCAAATAACAGAGAATGACATCATTCGACATCACATCTTTCAACATTGTTTTCACCATTCAAGGGACAGCAAACAAACATTGGGGAGGGGTACACAATTGCTGGGTAAATTTCTGGGTTATGAGATTCTGCCCACTTGGAGCACATATCATGGTTTGGCTCTTTTGTGCAGAATGCTGGCCACATGATCCACAGCGCTACCTATTCTGAACCCTGTTGTCAGATGTGTGATCATGATCGTGTAGCCATTGGCCATTAGGCGGCAAAGGGTTCTGTCGGATTCGCCCTCCTCGTCTTCCTCATCCAAAGTTGCTGTCCTTGACAACTGTTGAAGGTACCGTGCATATGCAACTGCCTATCATTGAAGCAGAAAGCATCAAAAGTTGGCCATCTGAAGAACATGCACATTTCATCATAGTGTGGCAAAAACTATCAGACACTCAACGCTCATCTTTGTATAGTGAATAGTCCTGTTGTGACATGAGCACAAAACACTGCTGTCACCAACGGTAGGCGTCTTTAATGACTGTGAAATGCAGGTTCTGGAAGTAATGCTTCACACACTAATTTGCTCATTGATGGGGAGCAGTGCCACCGACATGTGTGCCAATGATATTGGGCAGCTCATGAACAGGTAAAGCACAGCAAACATTCCTTGCAGAGAATTCACCACGTACAAGGATAAGAATGGCAACGCATCTTGCAGCAACTGTCAACAAAAGTTGGAAGGAACCCAGCACTAAAGCCTTCAAGATGGCACACCTCTGGAGAAGGAGAGGGCAGCTGTGCCCCACATTCTGTGTCCTGCGTTGCCATCATTGCTGCAAGGTCTTGGCCAAACTGCTGTGATCTTGCCAGGCCTTCAGTCTCCAAAAGTTGGTGCAGCATTGTGAGGGCGCTCTCCGTTTGGGCTTCTATGGCACCATGCAAAACCCTGTTGCACACTCTTACAATGTGGATTTGGAAAATGCAAGTACAGGAGCACAAGTCCAGAAACCCTGCTACAGAGAAAACAAACGAAGCTCCAAGGTATGATGCAGGACTCTGTAATTATGTGCACACCCTCCACAAGGATACTGAAGGTCTTCAATCGCCATGCAGGCCAACAGAACATAATTGTATGCTTTCAAGGTGGTGACGAGCTACTTGTGCAACTCATCCCAGGAACTTCGATGCCTGACTCATTTGCCTACAAACTAGCCAAACGTTAGTACTCATGGCACTGTTGCCTCCTGGAGATCCTCCTCGTCATTTCGAAAACCAATGAAAGTGGCGTCCTTGTGAGCCCAGCACCATTTCTTTTATAGCCATACCTTTTCTTGTTGTGTCATCTTTTCGCACAACTGCGCTGTGCTTGGTGCAGGTTTCCACTGCTGTTTCAAGTGCATTGTGAACGTGCTGTTGGTCGCAGATATATGAGCAATATCTGTGCTCCCCAAAGCTCCACTTTTCAAAGGGAGGCATCGGCTTCTGCTGGGCAATGTTCAACGCCCCTTGTGTCTGTGAATGGAAAGAACGTTAGCAAATAAAATGTCTGCAAGCCAACTGCCCAATGCTGTTGCACTCATGGCATTGCGTGCTGCACTAGGTATTGCAAATGGTTGATGTCAAAGCACAGCTGATGATGCACAGGCAGCAACGTTACATCTTCCTTGCAGAATTTGGTTCCTTTCTTGCAGACAGTTTGGATACTGTTCACAAGGGTAGAATGAGCAGATCAAGGATTCCAGGTTAAGAGAAATGAACAAACTTCTTGCACAATAGCTGTGGAGGCAATCATGCCCGTCGTCACCTTCCAGACATATATTCGCTATGTCTTGTAGTATATATACAAACCAGTCATCAACTGCAAGGTGCAAGGGCCACGATCTGTTTCTAGTGGGCAAATCTATGGGATGGAAATAACTTTCCAAATGCTAGCTGCTGGCAGCTATGGTAAAAAGGATCTGGGAGATTATTATTGTCGGGGAACAGGGTGGATGCAGAAACCTCCACAGTGGCCACAAGCTGAAGGCAATGTTGCCTTCCCTGTTCGCCCCAAGAATGCAAAGCAAATCCATGCAACTTCACAGCAGTGGCAGAGTAGTCAAGAACATGGTGTTGCACCACAACGTTTGCGACCTGCTGTACTACCATTTGATAATGCAGGAGCGCCAATAACACAATGTCCTCAAAGGCTGGTGTAACACAGACAGCCTGGGAACAGCTCCACCCTAAACAGACTGCAGTATAGGTATAAACTTTGCACCTTCCCCAGTTCTGACAAATAACATCTGGCCATTGTGCTCCCCAGCAATGCTGAAGGGAGATACTGGAGAGAAGTGGATATGACATATCCCTTGGGGACGATCATGCCCCGAATTCCAAAAGGCCGCTATTCTGTGTTCCATATCGCTTGCAGCATTTGCTCAGAAACAGTAAAGGCGCTGCCCATTCAACTAATTGCAAGGTGGTCAAGTGTGCTGTGCGATATCCGTATAAGTACCACTACTTTGTCTCTCTGTGTTCATGTGACCATCAACACAATATCCACAGCAATATCCAGATCTTTCCTGCCAGCGTTCAGCAATGTTCACTCTGAAATCACCTGCAACGTCTCCAGCTTCCTAGCCAGACGTTCATAGAATGGCTGCAGGTCAGACTCCTGGACTACAGGCTTGAACGACTTGACTTCCAGCTTCCCCACATCATCAGGCATGCCCGTTCCCCAGTCTTTGACCTGCATATGGTGCGGTCGCCATCTCATTTTGAGCCCCTTTAAACGTGCTTGATGTAAATGTTGCAGGACATCAGCCCAGTGTGAAGGAGAGGGCACCAACCCCTACATGTGTGCAATGGGGGACAGCTATGGCTTTCACATCAATAGCCTGGAACACTTGGTCCAAAGAAAGGTGCTCAAGCCCCAGTGCAAGCTGCACACTCCTGTGCATGTGGCTCAAAATCATGATGTTCGCAAATCCCAACGTGCAGGACTGGTATTGGGGCTGTGGAAGAACATTTCTGAAGACTTTGTGCAATCCCCTGCCATTTCTGCCCACCTGTACAAAATCTAGCCGACCTTTGCTTGCTTCCTCAATATCTACTGGTCGCACACCTTTGGGTCCTTTACCAGTCTGGAGTGCATCCAAAGCAGCCTGCAGGCAAGAAAAGCAAACAATACATTGCCATTACTGAAATCAGCAGCCCCATAAAACATGCGAATTCTGTGGCCTATGTGCTTCCCCCTGCAGGCAGCTGAAGCTGGTACACAACATCACTTTCCAGAGCAATGCCAATGGGGATGTGTCATGCTTGTGGAGCCCACCATTGAACCAGATCATTCATTTTGTTGATCTTTGCTTCTCATTCAGCCAGGGAAACAATCGCAAACATCACAATTATCAAGACACACAGATGGCAAGATTGATGATTGCAGTGTTGGTGAGAGGCAGAAGGAGGTGCATAACAAAGCATTGGGAATACTGCCCAAGCCATGCAACTCATCAAAAGCTCAACAGATCGTCCCACAGCAATTTGCAATTTTTCATCCAGTCATCATTGCTTCCATGGTACTTTCACCCGTTTTGTGCTGTGCTTAGCGTGTGAACTTCCAAGTGCATATCCATTACTACAGAATGGACTCTGTGCAGGCACTCTGGTGCTTCATTCCGCCAGGATCAAACCTGTTCTGCCGTGCTGTTCTTCTTCCCTCGTTGCTTCTCTCCTTTCGCTCTTTTCTTCCTTGGGACGGATGATGGCGAAGATGGGTTCCCAAATCCCTTCCCACTTCGGCACACCTTGCGCAGCACCCTGCGCATTGCACATGTCGATCCGCTGGTTGCAGATGGTTGACAATACTTGGCAACATGCGCGCACAATACAAAAATCCTTGCTCAGGAGGGGTTCGCGCTTTGCTTGACATGTTTTGCACACTGCATGCCAATAATCAACGCACGCAACAAAATCCCATTTTCCCGCACCGCAGATTCTGCAGGTGACAGCGCCACCCAAAGCGTAAGCTGCACCCGCGCAGCACGCTGAGCAACACAAAATGAACCATTTCCGTGACCTCCCGCGCCTGATTGACCAATTCCGGAAGCAACTCAACGCCCCAACCCCAGCCAACAGGACGCGTCAACCCATGCGATAACAAGCGCCCACATGGCACGCATTATGCTCCGGCTTCCGCGCGATGGGGAGAGCCGCGGCTCCTCTGCGCACTATACCCTCCAACTGTTCTCTAACACGAGCTCGGCTCACAGGACAGGCCCAGTCTCCGCGAGAAAGGGACGCAGAGATCGAAGCCCGGGGCGATCGGCGCTCGAATTGGATCGCGCCCGCCGCCCCGCTCCCAAAGCCCACCTGTTTCCGGCGAGTCGGGCGCCGGGAGGCACGCGGCCGCCGCGCGACCTTGTCCCCAGCATCTCACAAAGCGGCCGGGGCGCCAAACCGGCAGATCGCCTCCCAAGCATCAACAAGCCCCCCCCCCACATGTCCAACCCCCAGTCTGACACCCCCCCGCACCGCGCGGCCCAGGCGTTTGTTCATACCCTCGGAAAATGGAATCCGGGATCGATGAACCCCCGATTGCGCGGCGAACTGTAAGGGCGCCCCAGGCCTGAGGATCGGGTGAAGAAACGAACGGTGCTGTACCGGGCACCCCCCCCCCGCCCCCAGCCCACCCCGCGTCGCTCCGAAACGCGCGAGGCCGGCGCGGCCCCAGCCCAGTGCAGGAGCCCTCCGGGCGGGCGGCCGGTGATGTCCTGGGAGCAGCAGAAGCGCGTCATCCTTCCCTTCCTGCAGGTGTGGGGCGGGGGGGGAAGGGGGGGCCGAGGCGCGCGGGTTGGGGTTGCCGCGGCGCGACAGCCCCAAGAGTAAACGCCCTTACGTCGCACGCTTGGGATTAATCCCTTGCTCACTCTCTCTGTGTTTGTGTGCGTGTGTGTGCGTTTGTGTATGTGTGTGTGTGTGTGCGTCGCGAACAGAGGGCGGAGGAGATCGAGAAAGTTGAGCGGAAGGTTGCGTACTACTGCAGGCTGTATGCGGTGGACCAGGTGGGGTGACGGTGGGGGTGCGCCCGGTGAGCCGGGGACTGGCCAGGGGCTCGGGCGCTTGCCGCGGCCAGCGTCGCCGCGGTGCTGCCCGTGGAGCGGTCCGTCGAGCGAAGAGAGCGTTTGAGGCTGTGCCCGATGCTGCCATGTTAGATCTCTCCGCGCGTTCGCGAGCGCCGGGGAGGGGCGGATGCCTTTGTGCGTCCTGAGCCGTAGCCAGTCGCTGATGCGGGGTCGTATGCTTTTGGCAGTGCGAGATGCCATCCGCGGTACCTCTTTGGCTGCCGCGGCATTGGTGACCGTTTGTCCGGTTTTGAGCGCATCTCCCTCCCCAAAATTGGTAGAATCTTGCTCCCTGCAGTGCAGAGTCGCATCTCCAGTTCCATGTCTCGAAATACCTTGAGATGCCTATATGTATTATGACGGACGGATTTGGGCCAAAATTTGCCTTCAGGCCCTCCTTGTTCTGGGTGGTAAGATTTTGTGTGGGACTTCACTTCGAGCCTGCTGTCCCAAGGTTGCGGGCTCTTGTCCTGCAAGGAAAATACGGCTGAATGCTGTCAGCTCACGATTTGTGAGATGCGCATCTTGCAGGGTATTCGGATTGAGGAGAGGGCTCCCGAAGCCGACCAGCTGCTTGGCAAGGTGCTGAGCCACCTGGAGAGCGACAAGCCGTACATAAACCTCGATCAGGACGGCGATGCTGAGTACTGTGAGAAGTTTGCATTGGGGGTATTCCGCAATGCAGAAAGGAAGGACAGGGCAGGACAGGCCACAAGAGACACTGCCAAAGCATACTATGCCGCCTCCATCTTCATAGAGGTGACTTATGTTAAAGAAGGAAATTGGAAGCCATTGTGGAACCCTGGCAGGGAGGCTGCTGTGTGGCAAGGCTTGTTGTGGATTCACTCAGGTCTGAAGCCTGGTTCACTTTAGGGCAGCTGTGGCTAGAAGCTGCGTCTCATGCTCCATCAATCCACATCTGCATATTTGCAGTGAAACAATGCCTGCGCGTGGGCAGTATTTTTGCTGAAGCCTGCTGGCCTTCCTGGACCTGAACAAAATTGCCCCTTTGGAACAATGTCATGATGAAGGCGCATCGTTTTGAAAGGCCGCACTGACTTCTTCTCAGCCTTGCCTGAGGGCCTCTGGATTGAACTGTGTGGCTGTACGCAATGCAGTGAGCATTAGTAAAGAGGCTGTGTGTGTATTGAGCAAGATTCTTGCCACATTTTGCACCTTTGGGGTAGCCAGTTCATGGCCTGGATTGGCTATTGTTCTGCTCTGCATTCATGGGACATAGGAAGATCTTTCTGTGCTGTACAGATCGTGAAGCAGTTTGGGGAGTTGACAGATGAGTTGGAGCAGTACAGGCGATATGCCATCTTCCGTGCAACAGAAATCAAAAAGTCTCTGGACAGAGGAGAGAATGTGGCACCTCCAAGGGAGGAGCCCAGGGAGGGGCCCCCAAGCGAGAAGCCCCCAGGTGGGGAGCCCCCAAGGGCAGAACCTCCAAGAGAGGAACCTCCAAGGGAAGAACCCCAAGGGCCAGAGCCGCCAAGAGGAGAACTCCCAAGGGGGATGCCTCCACGGCAAGATAAGGTTGAAAAACGGCCTGAGCCATCACACCTGGAAAGCGAAGGCTCTTCTGCATCAGGTGATTCATGCCTCGGCATCATTTCGCCTGACCCATATGCTATCCTGTACAACAGCGCATGTAAAGGTTGCGACCATGAAGTGCGACACTGGCACCGCCGTGGCAACTTTTGCAAAGTTTGACTTCAGATGGGCTTGGCAGTGTGCTGTTGCACCAAGCCTTGAGTGTTGCGCGCACAGAACTGGCTAACGAGTTGCCAGCCCTGGCATCGCGTTTTCAAGCCGCGTGGTGTGACTGACTGACTGTCGTGAGTCATTTGCAAGTTGTGGCTTTGTTCAGTTTTGAGTCACTGTGTAGTGGATTTCATATTGCAGATATATCCACACCAGAGTGTACACGATGTGTAACTGTGTTAGCACAACCATGTGCAGTGGAAGATGGTCCTTCTTTCATTCTGTGTGCCTTGATTGAATGAAGCACCTTCACAATGACAAACAAGTGCTTTCTCTGCAGCGATGTTGCACGCACACCAGTGGTACCAGGAAGTTGATGGATTTCTGATGTGGTTTTGTGCGGACAGGCACGACAGTGATGGATCCAGGCTACCAACCTGGAACGAAAGTGTTCTACTCTGAGGATGAGATGACAGTAAAGGCCAAAGGCGTGGTTCTGAGCAAGCTTGAGGAAGGTAGGGCCTGCTAGGTAAGATAGTAGAATAGAATAGGAATTCCGTTCAATGCAGTTTGTTTGCTGTTCAGCAGTCACCAACACATTAGAGGCACAGCACGAGCTGTTTGGAAGCCAGCGCTGGCCTTGAGGAAAATCTGCAAGCTGAAAATGCCCTGCCAAATTCCCTTCTGGACTGCTTTGAGTATAGCAGCGTATGGCAACATAAGGCTTTTTGCTCCATGGTTGCAACTACCACATCTACCAGTTCAACCTGCTGTTGGGCCTCTGGAGGCAAAGAATGAGATTTGTTGAAGCATGTGCTGGAGTGTCATTGCTGCAAGCCATTCAACCGAGTGCTTCTGGCTTTTCCGAGCAAAGAGGGCACTGGGGACAACTGGCTGGTTGCTGTGCCACCTGGAAAAGTGTCTACCTCGAAAACGAGCACAGGAATGGAAAGCATAGCACTTCCTTTGTCAATGCTACCCTGGGCAAGAGGATGTTTGCAGCAGCCTTGTGTGTTGTTTATTCTTGCTGTAGGCACTGTGTCTATGCGCCAATGTTTGTGCTGGTGTTTGCGTACACAAAGGTGTCACTTTCTTTTGAAGCAATCTTGGGCAGGCTTATTGATGGCATAGATGCCTCACTTGGAAGGCTGAGCCCAGCGTGTGACAAGGTTGCCAGAGTAGTTCAGAGGGTGGCACAGTTGATCATGAGATTCAGCAGCCAGCCAGCACTATGCGCTGCAGACAGCTGGTGGTGTCTTTCTGGTGCGCCCTGGAGACACACAATGTGGTTGCCCTATAGTGAGTGTCATTACCTTGCAGGTTCCAGGACAGTGTCTCATCCATTTCCAGGATTGAATCCAAACAAAATCACCTTCAGAATCTGTTGCATTATGTGGGCACTGACAGCCTTGTTTCGATGCACCAGAGGGATCCTTGTTCCTTGTAGAGCTTGCAGGCCAGGGAACAGTACACGCTAACCTGGAGCAGCTTGCCCCTGATCTGGAGGAGAAGGCCAGAGTGATGTACTCACAGGAACCTGGGGCAACCATGGTGGAAGCCACACTCATCCAAGTGGAATGCGCTGATATATGGTGTGCACCTTTGCTGTAGCTCATTCTTCATTGTTGCGCTTCACCTTCTGTTGAAGATCTGAGTGCTTGTTGCTTCATGATCTCCCCTGCTCCTTGTGCAGTGATTTGTTGAGTCATTGCCAAGCTACAAGCATGTTGACACATTAACTGCTTGTATGATGTGAAGTGTTGTGTGCCTTGATGAACGTGGACAGAACGCCATCAGGGTCGCTTATGACGTGCAGTTGGTCAAGTACCCTGTAGCTTTCTTGTCACCTGGAGTCCAGGCCATGAGAGCCTTTCAGTTGTTTCACAAATGTGCTGTCAATGTGCCAACTGGCAATGTGACTGTTGTTGTTGGCACCTTTTGGAACAGAGGGACATCACACCAGTGCACAAGCAGTTTCAATATGTAGAGCATTGGACTGGCCCTCAAACTGGCAGACAGAGCAACCTGTTGCTCTCAGAAATCTGCGAGTCTATGTTCAGCCTTGAAGGCATCCTTGAATATGCTTTCTGTTCCTTCAACTGTGCAGGCCACCGATGTATGTTGTTGCAACTGCGGATGGGGAGCAGCATGCCTGTGCTTCAAGGTGCTTGACACTTATCAACGATGCCAAGGTTCCAGATGCTGCAGGTATGGAATGTCAAAAGTAGTGGGAGCCTGGAACTGTATACTGTCCTGCTGTTGAGCATGTTCACACATGCACGCACTGCGCTGCGCTCCTGAAAGGCCTCCTCAACAACTGTATAGCTGTTGCCCTGTGAAGCGTGCATTGAAGTGCATCCAGAAGAAGCAAAGCATACAGTAGTGATCTGATCCATATGGAAGCGTGGCCTTTGAATCCATCCACGCAGCTAGAAGTTGCCCTGTGCTAGCCTTGTTTACCAGCAGACAATCCCAGATACGTTTGTGTTCTCTTGGGTATTTGAGCCTGGCACTAAAGGCGATGCATGGTATGCTTGAAGTGTCACATGCTTGTCTCCGTAGCTCCTGTGGATGCAACTGCTAGATGCTGTTTCGTTCCACAGGCTAGCCACGTTCTAATATGTGTCGCATGAAATGAGCGTCCTGCTTGGCAATTTCACAGTATGAAGAAGAGGAGAACTGATGTGCTTGCAGTGTTGAAACTGTGCTCACGAACATGGCTGCACTGCGTGGAAAAGCCCCATGCAAACACACGATGAATGTTGCCGAATCTGCCTTCCCCGATATTGAACTGTCCTGAAGTGGCAGCTCAACTTCCAGTTCTGGGAGGTGGTTGTTGGGAAGAAGGGTGCATGTTAGTAACTGCCAGGTAGCTGGCACTCTGGTTGATATGTCGGCTGTGTTGTCTGTTATGTTTATGCAGAGGGCACTAGCCACAATTTGGAGGCGGAGGTTCCCAGTTCGGATTCCAAGAAGTATTTGAATTCCCATCCACTGAGAGGTATGTCCAACAGGCCCCATGGCTAGCATGCCTCCAAAGTTTTGTAGTGCATTGCACGAATCCAGTGGTCACGTGTGACAATTTGCTGAAAGGATGATGGATGGCCCCACTGCAGACGCGCTTGTGCGGCATGGCACTGCATGATTCCTGGCCGTCTGTCTCAACCCTGTTGAGTATCCCCTTGGCAACCACAACGACTTCTTTAAGGCGCAATGTTCAGCGCAATTCCATTCTCTGGCAAATGCAAAGCAAAGAGCGATGGTTGATCGCTCTGGCTGTATCTCATCCCTTTGGTGTCCATGCCTCAGATTCGCCAATCCAGCACCATTCCCCCGACCCTTCCGATGCGGACTCGGCAGTGCAGGAGCCAGTGGGCAACAGTGCCGCGGCGCCCGCCCCGGGTCAAGACGCCGGCGCGCCCACCGTCCCTGCCAGTGATGTGGCGAATGGAGTTGGCACCGCATATGCTGCCGCTCAGCATGCGCTCCCACCCAATTCGGCCCCTGTCCAGTATTCCACTTCAGCCCCTGTGGGCCCCGTTGCCCCGCCTGTCGCTTCTGTGGTGCACCAGGTCGCACCACAGCCGACACCTCCGCAGCCAGCGGCTAACGGCGCCATCGAGCCCCTGCCGGGCTTTGTACCGGAGCTGCAGGCCATAGAGAGTGCCAAGAAGTACTCCAAGTTCGCGGCCAGCTCGCTGGGGTTCGATGATGTCGAGTCCGCAGTGCATTACCTGAACCTGGCATTGCGCCTGCTGACTCGGCCGCCTGACCAACAGAAGTGAAGGGCGTGGAGTGGACAATAAGTGGCGCGTGGCGGCCAGGGTAGTAAAGGATCGCCATACAGGGCTGAGCACCAAACTTTGCGTTGTTGGAATCGCTGGGCGCTGATTGTGTGGGCTGCCGGGGATTCACGCTGCTTCACACCAATTGGACGTAGTGCGTATTCTTACGTCACGCCATATTTGTTCACAAACGATTTGCGCATGGCGCGCACTGAGCCATCGAGACGTGGGGGTTTGGCGGCGGTCGCAGGGTGCCGGCAGACTGTCCAATTTTGCATGGCGAATGACATGGCGCCACTGGCGCTAAGCTTGGAAGTGCGCGTATGTTATTGCAGTCGGGCTTGTCCTGCTGCCGTGCGGCGTGCCGCCCACCCTGCGCGCTGGGGTGCTTAGGATGCTTGTGTCTCCTCGAGGTAGCTCGGCATGCTGTCCTGAAGTCAGTAGACTGCGCGGCGTTGGTTTGGCTGTGGGCCGAAACCAGCCCATCCTCACCCTCTTGGCACGAGCGCCGACTCCGGCTGCAATGAGAACCCTGGGTTCATAATGGAATGGGCATTCTAGGGAGCATGATGGCCGGCAGTGGTACTGGCGGAAAAGGTTCTCATCCCAGGTTGTTATGTCTGTTCACCGGGGACTGTCTGTCATATGTCGTAGCAGTTCGGGACTGGCCGATATTTAATCAGGCTGAGCAACAAACGATGCAGGTGGATGGACGGCGGCGAGCAGCGCGTCGCCTTGTTCCAAGCACGCGTGCGGCATGGGTGCAAATCAGGCCGAGCAAGCCATGGAAGGTTTCGATTCCTGTCGTCTCGGCATCTGTGGTGACAACGACTACCTCCGCACATCAATGCAATGGGTTGCGCCTCTCAACCAGTGCCGTAACACCGCCGGCGAAAGAATCACGCAAGCTGAGATATGGAGAAACGTGGACATAACAGCCCAGCGGGTTCTCTTTGAATCGGGTCTTTGATGTAGGTGCTTGAGTTCAAGGGAACGCGCAGCCCGTTCCATCCTTTCCCTTGCTCTCCAGCGGCAGTCCACCCGCTGGTGTCCATTCCCTCTGTGCCCACACTGGCTCGGGGCAGTCGAAAGAAAAGGCGGGCCCTGAGTACCGCACCGCGTGCAGCCATAGGGGTTCCAGGTCCACTGGGTAGCCCCGCGGCACCATGGCCGGGCAGTGCATGCACAGGGCGTCCCGGCGCTCACTGTCCACGAGATAGGGGTACCGGGAAAGGTGGTCATCCACGCAAACATCCCGGACACTCGGCCCTGCACCGCAGCCGCCCCCACACGGAAGTGAATGGACAGCTGCCGATGGGTGCAGATAGTCAGTTGTGTCGGAGGTAGGGCGCTCGATCGCACAATGGGACGTCGCTGGATAATGGATCGCCCCTGCCTCTGGCAACAGTGCCTTGGGACTCCCATCAGGGGAATCGCGACCTGCAATGCGGCTGGCCCCTGCATGTGGAGACGTCGTGACGTCCGCAGGCGAGGATCGGATGGGCTGCTGCTGGATGCGCTCTGCAGGGGACCCGGATTCGCGAACCCCATCGATCTTCCGCCTTTTGGCCCGCATTGGTGCGTCCTCGCCTTCTTGCTCAGCGTGCTGTGCAGCCACGGACGCTGAATCTGAATTTGCTTGATGAGACGACTCCCAGGTCCTGGTGGGGCCGGCGTCTGCAGGCCTGCAGTCGCCGACGGAGCGTCAGAAACAATCTCAACCTTCTGTGGTTAGGCCTGCCTGATGTAGTCGCAATTGGCGGCCATGTCACGAAAAAGTCAGACGCCACTTTAGAAATACACACGGCAGGATCTCCGCTGCGAAATGAACATCAAGCGGTCGTTGGAAGGGAAAGGCAGGGCGCACGTCAGCCGCCCCCTCTCGACAAGAAATCGTTGCTCAAGTTTCCGCACTTGAGGAGGCAATAACTTTCACATGAATTCATTCGATGCACAAATATCGTGTTCAGTGCCAAACGCCAGACACCCGTTCGTGTACAAGCCCGTTTACTGTGTGCTGGTAGATAGGGCTTTAGCCAAACGGCACAGCGCCTACAGCAATGCAACCATTGACTCTGTGCCAATCTCCAGAGGCAGGCTTTCGCAAGAGAAATTTCCCGCCACAGCTCCCGCTGGCGCCGCATCGCCAGATCGGCGGATGTAGTTTAACCCCACCCCACCCTACCCTCAAAACAACAAAGCGAGCGCTGGACACAGCCATCCATGGCGCCACCGGTGCTTGGCGCGAACGAGAAGCACGTTGTCCAATTTTTCTACAAATCAATCCAAACAGAATTCTAATCCACAGCCTGTGGACCACAGGCACAGACAAATGGATCAACATGAGCCGAAGTGCGGCGAACGTCACACCTGGGCCGCCCCAGTCGTCCTACCATATTGCGCTGGACAAGGTCGGTCCAAATATTTACGCACCTCAATCGCCTCCACTCCATGGCGGTTGGCCGCTCGGGTGAGAGGCTACCCCCGTATTGCGTGTCGTTGGCGATAGGATGGCCCAAGTGCTGAAGGTGCACACGAATTTGATGCGTGCGTCCCGTCCGGGGTCTGCAGCGAGCAGTACTTGTGAGCGCTGAGCCCAATTCATCCACCAATATTCCCGAACTGAGGGGACCTCGCGTCAGCAACAAGGGCAAAACGGTTTGCCATACTGCGGAACAGAAAACGTCACGTACAAACAGGAAAAACGTTTTGTTCGCGCAGCTGCATAATGACCACCGTTTCACTGGGTGAGTCACTTATGAATCAGCTGGCGAGGGACTCATGTCTGACACGCATGATGACTGTGTGGGATGGCCCGAGTATGCCACCACCGGCTAGAAAGAGAAAAAGGCAAAAACAAAAACAAAAACTGGTCAAGAGCTTGCGTTTTTTGTAGTATGGCAAGCTGGTCATGAAAGTTGAGAGGAGTATTGCCTCAAGGGCCGCTTGGTGACGACTGAGCGACACCCTACGCTGCAAGAGTATTTCTGTGAAAGCTGCCTCACCGGTATTGACCGCGGCTCTCAATATCTGGTGGGGCTATGTGTCCTGAATAAGGATACCGCCCAGATTGGGCGTGTGTCCAGCCTCGAAGCCGATTGCGCAAGGCTAAGGGGTGGCTGGCCTGAAGAAGGCTAGAAAGAAACCATGCACGGCCAAAAGTGTGGGCCCACACCTGATGGTTCTTTCCAGGGTGGACTACCCCATGCAAAGGCTGCATGTGTTTACTTGTTCATTCATCACCCACAGCTGAAATATTGTTGTGGAGAAAATGTACGGGCTGGCTGTGCCGCCGGCCGTTTCATCACATCATTTTGGTACAAATCCAATCCCCATATGCTGATGTCTCTTTCCAGCTATGGGTAGGGTCTGAACTAATGGTCCTAGAGCTGTGCTCTGGACCGTATTCTTCAGTCGTTTGGGCCCCAAGAAACATGTTGAGATGTGTCTTGCCTCAACATGAGGATGTGCTGGTGTGTTGCCCAGCCTGCCTACTCTTCGGTTGTCCCGAAACGCTGAGTTTGTCGCTGAACAAGTGACAGCTCTGAATGTCGCTGAATAAGTGACAAGATCGGAAAAATGTGGGAAAGTCACTGGATAAGTGGCAAAGAAAAGGAAAGACTCCTGAACAAGGAGTTTTGGACCGGTCAGAGCGCCCGTGACTAGTCTGGCTGTGCATGAGAGGGTGCTCCGTTGGTTGATGGTTCTTTCCAGCCATGGGGTCACTCAAATGTGCGTTTGCGGGGCTGTGCCCCCAGCCGTTTAGTTTACAGGCATGCGCTTTAGGGAACATGCCGGGATGTCACTTTCCCCGGCATGGCACAGAGCTGATGTGACTTTCCAGCTCGGGCACCCTTTTGGCGTCTTGGCCTGGTGCAAATGGTGCTTGCCACTGAAAAAGTGGCTGGAATCTGCTTACCACTGTGAAAGTGGTGCTGCCATTGTTGCAAGTGGTGCAACATTGGCTGGTGTATACCACTGAAAAAGTGGTTGTAACGGGCTGCCACTGAAAAAGTGGTACAGCTGATGAGATTGGACACGTTTGGTTGATGCTTACCGCTGCAAAAGTGGTAGTGTGCAGCTGCCGCTGCAAAAGTGGCGCTGCCCTGGAAGTTTGAATGATCTGGTAGATGTTCACCGCTGAGAAAGTGGTATTGCTCCTGTATAAGGAGCTGGACGATCATGCAAAGCTGCAGAATCAGTTTCTGAGTAAGAATCTGAAGTTCAGACTCCGTTTTGAGGACATATGCTGAAAATGCATGTTTGGAGTGTGAGTACAACAAGTGCACGACTGAATCCCTGAAAAAGGGATGTGTGCACTTACTCAACAGTTTCTGAAAAAGGAGCTGTGGGGTTATGCAGAACTGTAGAATCAGTTTCTGAACAAGAAACTGAAGTGCAGAAAGTGGTTAAGGAGACATGCTGGAAAAGCATGTTTGGCATCTGAATGCAATAGGGGCATGATTGAATCCCTGCAAACGGGATGTGGGCAATCGTCCAACAGCTCCTGAAGAAGGAGCTGTGAGATTGTGGGAAGGTGCATGGCAGTTTCTGGAGAAGAAACTGCCTATTCTGAATTGATTATTGGGTTGGTTTGAAGAAGACCATGCTGAAAAAGCATGGAGTGCATTTGCTTGGAAGTGGTGCTTGTTTGGTCCCTGAAAAAGGGACTTGCATGCTGCCAGACGGCCCCTGAGAAAGGGGCTGGTTCACCTTGATGAAAGGTGTACTTTAGTGCAGCACTGAAGAAGTGCTGTACTTTGGTGTGTATGCATTTAATTTCCTTGCACTGTATTTAGTGTTGAGGTGCCACTGGTCAGTAATTCTGACCATGGCCCTCCGACCCTCCGCCACCGCGTGGGCAGCGGTCTGGCAGAAGCCCTTCGGGGAGTGGGGCCCCGATGAGTGGCTCCCTCTCTCGGGGGCCTGCCAGTACCCTGCCTTACGCAGGGTGGAATCGACCATACCGGTCATCCGAGGGGGGCGACTGTACCAGGAGACGGTTGTCCGTCTCCTGACCCCCCTCGGTATGTCGGCTGGCCATATGGCGGGCCCGGGGGCGGGTGGTCGGACGACACCCGGGCCGAGCCGAGGCGCAGCCCCGAGGACACGAGGCGCGCCTCCATCGGGGTGCGAGTGGGACGCGCGGGCACGGAGAAGGGAGCGGAGGCTGGCCGAGCGGGCTGCGCGCGAGGCGCGAGCGTCGGCGACCGATGCTTTGGGTCGCCTGCTCGGTGGGGACGATGGGCGCGCGGTGGAGCTGGAGACCGCCGCGGAGGCTGCACGCGAGGCGATGCGCGGCCTCGAGGCCGCGCTTGCGAGGTGCGGTGGCGGGGCGGCACGGCCGCCCGTCGACGACGCATTTCTGCGCGCAATGCTGCCGCCGGAGAGGCCGAGAGGCGCGGTGAGTGGGGGCGACTCGGTGGCGGGTAATGGCGCCGGAATGGCTGGTGATGGGGGCGCGGCTGTCGGCCCGATTGTGGTGCGCGGGGGGCTTGCGTCTGCTGCTGGTGTTGTGGAGAGTGGAGACGAGCTGATGGAAGAGCCGCAAGGGAATGTGTCGGGCGGCGAGATGGGCGGAAGCGGTGGCATGGAAAGCTCCGGAGAAGCCGATGCGACCGGCGCGATCGGCGAGGATTGGGCGGAGGTGGCGGGGCCCTCCGTGAAGGAGGAGCCCGTGGAATTCTGAGCCGGTGTAGCGGCCGGCGAGCGAGCGGCGAGCGGAGGGTGGCGCGGGCGCGGAAGGCGGGGGCCGGATGCGCCTCGCGGGGAGGTGGAGTGATCCGGCGGAATGCGGGGGCGGATTGTCACGTGGGTCTGGAGAGATTGAACAATGTACTGTGAGGATTTGGGCGAAAGGGCCAGTGGGAGTGACGGGAGGCTGCGCAGCCATACGCAGGGGGCCAGTGACCGTTTGATGGACGAATCTGTGTGGCTGTTTTTCGTCTGCTGTGAACGGAAATGTGGCGGCGGCGGACGGATCGCTGTCTCTTCGAGTTTGCTTGCACGCGTTGTGGGGCTGAGAGACCGAACAGTGACCGACCTGTAAGCCCCGACGAGGGCGTTTTGCCGCGAACCGGGGAGTGCCTGACGTGACTAGTGCCCGGCTGCGCGACCGCTGTGCGTGTGACTCGACTGGGCGACAGCCGACGAGCAGGCGCACCCGTACCGTGGAGTCACGGTGCGCTCCTGTGTACTGGACTGTGTGGAGCTGTCTGGGAGTGTCTGAGGGGGGGTTCCAGGCTGGTGGCAAGGGTAGGGGGTTGGAACCTGCTGTGTTGCACGCCCTGCTGTGTCCTACTCGCTGTGTGAGGTGGTCCTTTGCTGTGTATTAAGGAGCATCTGCTTGGATCGAGCAAGCATCTGGCTGGCCATCAGCCATCTGTTCAAAAGTTGTTCGTACTTGGTGTACTGGTGGCGGAAATGCACTGTGCAGGGGCCAATGACCAGTGAATCGCTGCCCATTTTGTTGTTGTCCTGTGCTTTGTTGTATTACTGAACTAGTACTTGATTTTAACCTGCCAGCCTGGTCATCTAACAAGATGGCCAGGTCAAAGCAATAGTTTGCCTTCGGATGTGGATCTCAGGGGAACGACACGCTACAAATATTGTTCGCTCAGACAGCACGGTGCCTCGTGAACGCATGCAATGGCAATGTGAAGCAACGGTGCGCACAAAAAGAGACTGCCAGTTTCATGCACAACTGAATGGGCCCCTGCTATACGGCAGGGACAATGGCGCTGCTGGAAATAGCAAGAACATCAGCACTGGCATCTCCTAGTGCATGGGCTTCACGTTGACGGGGCGGGGAAGCTGGAGTAGGCAATCACCAAAGATGTTTTGTGTGGGAAGCGTATCAGGTAGATGTGCAGTGCCGACGGTCAATTCACACAAATCCTGAATTCTGCACGCCAGGCGCGCCACCACAGATTGCGGTTTATGTGTTGTCACCATTTTGGCAGCAAACTCAATGGGTTTGCTGCGAAAAGGCAACAACACAGTTTTTGTGCCAGCAAGGCCATGGCAGGCACAATTCCATCAGCAGGTTATGCTCGAAAATGTATATTCATTCCCGCAAGCAAGAAGTCCAGCAAGCCCTAATAGGGAGAACAGAACATTCGATAGAATCAAATACTGCAACCCCGCACCGTAAGCGGGGAAACTGGCGCTCAGAGCACCATAACTGTGCTCAGAGCACCAGCGTCGTTAGGCAAATGTGTGGAGAACTAGGCACACGCCTCACCTGCATTCCACAACACTGGTCCGGCCATCGGGGGCCACGAATCGAAGCCTGAAGTCTGTGACGGCAAGCTTCGCTTCTCTTTGGCCTGCAGCTCTGCCACTTGTGCCTGGAGCCCCATCTGAGATTACAGGAAAAGTGTAGATCATGCACCCAAAACGGTGATTATTCATCCACACGACAGGCACCAGCAGCATCACGAATAGTTCCATTGTCTGCTTCTCAATGAGATGTAGAAAAGCCATACATTGAGTAAAGCCCTCACCAGCAAACGATCTTGACACTCTGGTGTGGAGCATGAGATGGTGTGGACGTGCCCAGATGCATCATAAACAACGAACAACAACAGTGCTGCTCCCTCAAGGCCTATTGTGAAGACAGCCCAGTGTGTGTCCATCCGGAACAGGCAACCAAGATATTACCACAAGAATCCCACACACGCCTGGGGTGCAGCACGCCTTCACCACCTTGCTCACCTCCTGCAGATTTTGACAGGCATGCACCATTGGATGCCCATTTGACCTGAGTGAGTGTCTGAGAAACGTTGTTCTTGGCGATCAGTCTAATTGGTGAATCAACTTTAGAGGGTGACATATCTCCATCTTGTGCAAGTAGAGTTCCCCACTGGGTCCACAAACTAGACAGCTGTCCCTGCAGTGGCCTAGTGCCATCCATGGCGTGTGTGTGCCTGTGTGTGTCAATTCTGTAGCCCTTGTAAGCGTACCTCCACCCTCTATGGCTGCCCTGTTGGCCTTCGGGTCCCATGTGAGGGACTTGCTGACGGTTACTGAATCTTTGGAGAATGCACCTGCGACTCGGGCAATGTACAGTTTTTCCATCACTTTGTCCTGTACAAACAAGCACATTGCCCACAGCACTTCTTCAGTACTTCAGTACAGGTGGGTTGATACACACCACGCCATGACACATTGCCTGTTTGTCTGGGCACATGCAGCAGCATGAACTGGCAGAATCCGGCAGGGCCAAGGACACACACCTGTCATGTTGTCATGAAAATGATCAGCCAACACTTTGGTGCGCATAAATGCAAACCACACGCGACCTTTTGACAACACGGAACAGTGTCACTGAACGACCTCGTGTGCTTCTCACAGCATCAAAGTTGACAGTCGCCACCATGAAATAGAGAACATCTCATGTTCCCAGCAGATCTGAATTCTGCTATTGTCCCCAGCCAACAGGTCCGATAGCCAGCGACGTGGAGATGTTGTCAACACTCAACTTGTCTGTTGAAATGATTTTGACCCAGTTTGCATTCATCGATGCCCGCTTGTAAAGCAATTTGTCTACATAGGGCGCTTGCACATATTGCATGATAATTAACTGGATTCTCACCATCATATTCTCCCTGAGAGTATTCGCCGCTGCAGCATTCCTTGCAAACAGAAGGAGCCCCGACACGAGTTTGTCGAGCCTGTGGACAGGGAATAGTTCACCTACATCCGGACTGTGGGCCTGGAGGATGCCGATTACTGTGTTCTTTCTGTACTGTCCTGAAACATGAACTGGCACGCCAGGAGGTTTGCTCACTGCCATCACCTCTGGAGTGATTCCCACGACCTGCAGCCAGCCAGGGCTTTGCATCAACAGAAAAGTAAAACGGGCAATACAAGTGCCATCTACCACAAGCAAGAACTCCTTGATGCAGAGGTCTCTAAGTACAACAAGAAAGTGCACATCAAACACCAGCCCCAAACAAAAGCCTTTCAAAGGGTCCAGGGCCACTGTCCACGTGGACACGGACTTGTGCACAAGAATGTGTTGAGTGCTCCCTGTGCTCCAGATGAAGACATTGTGTTGGCATCTTTGAGCCGGGAGTATTGTTTGGAACACTTGCCACTTGCCACCTGGGACCGACTTCTTAGTGTGCAGCATGCTGACAAAGCCAACAAAGGATCTGCCTAAAACTGGCCATTGAGTACTTAGCCAAGTTTTCAGCATGGGTATGGTACTATGCAAAGGGGAAGTTTCCTGAACTGCATTTGAAACCACATTCTGCATAATCCATGCAAAGCAGCACATCAGGAGTCAGGACATCAATATGCAGCAGTTTCGAACATGCACTTACAACAAGCCTTGCAGGCAGCAAACTTCCTCTCAGCTGTCCACAAACTGTAAACTACATTGTGATTTCTTTGGTCAAATTTAAGTTAACAAGTGCTTGGGCACGCTCCACTCACTGTCATCCACCGGATACTGCATCTGTACACATTGCCCTTCATCGATATATTGAAGGTAGGGTGTAACATGCTCACAAATCAACTAATGCACTGGCAATGCTTACACACTTCCACAAAACGGGCTCCAATCTGTGGACAGATTCCGATGCTTCACAGCCCATTTGGAGGTCTGTTTGCATGCGATCGAGACATATGTGCTGCACAGCACTTTGCAGTGCTGAAACTACCCTCAACCTGAATAAACGACGACAACACACCTCCACAGGCTCAGACAACACAGGCGGCTCATGCCTGTGAATTAGGTGTCTTATGCATTGCCCCTCCTCCAGCACTCCACCCTTCCATATCTTCCCCTTGCGCAGGTCTTCAACACGCAGGCGACCATCCCTGAGTGCCTCCTCATAGTAATCCTTGTCCCTGGCAGGGAATTCCTAGACATGTGAGGATGCAACAGACACTTTAGTTTTGCCCTTTGTTCTACTTTCCAGCTTCCCTCCTGCACAACCATTCTTCTGTCTCTGAATAAGCTGTTTGCTTGCTGACCGACCCAACTATCAGTGGCCATCATGACACTTTAAGGCGGAAAAGGGTCCAGCGCACTATTGGGATGTGGTGCCACAGTGCATGACCTGCAGTTCTGCCTCCTGGTTTTCAAAAGCATGACATTGACCTACATCGCGCTCCAACTCCATACAACCCACTTGGAACTAGTTCTATTCGCAACCATCAAAAATAGCTGAAGCACTCCCACTTTGTGATGGTGCTTGGGACTGCTCTGAAGATTAGTGTCCATATGAGCAGCCTGGGGAACTGCTTTGCTAGATTTCCATGGATTAGAGCCCGTGCAAGGCTGTCACCAGCAAAGCTCCTGCACCTGGGCAGGCGATGGAAAATCCAGCAGATCAATCACAAGATCGGCAATTCTGCACACCATCCAGTTGCACAATGTGAAAAGGGTTACTGCAATGTACAGATGCACACAGTGCCTTTCATCCCTTTATAGGAATGTATTTGTGTGTGATTTGTACAAGCAAATGAAATACAATCAAAGGAATGACATTCTGGCCGAGGTGATTTTGGACCTCAAGTAGGTTGTGAGGCTCACATGAGCGGCTGGGAACAATTCATTGCACATTGCCCTTGCACACATTGCCCTTGCACACATTGCCCTTGCACATTGCCATTCACCATCCCCTCTTTGATGCCTTCTCTTTGGGTCTGAGGTTTGAAGGCCAAGCAAGGGGCTCAATTAAACTGCACAAAGGCAAAGGGAAGCCCCACAGTGCAGCAGGGCGAGGGCTCCCAGGATCAGCGAGTGGCCGCACGGGCCTGCTCAGCAAGACAAAGACTAGGTTTCAAAGCGAATATTTGACTCCAATCAACTGTCATGCCCTCATCTCGACCGCCCACAATTACTCCAATCAGGTTTTCATTGCACACCCATTCTTGCTGGAGCTGTAACTTGGCGATGGCTGATTATTCTTGGGACAAACAACACACATGGAATGTCCGTGGCTTTGTTCCAAACTGTTCATCCCGCCCCCCTCTCGTCCCTTGCTGCAGGGGCTGTTTGCTCTCCAACGAGTCAATTGGGTGCGCTTCGATGCCCGCGCTCTCACCAAACGTCACCTTCGAAAAGACGTCCACCACCGTCCTTCCTATCCACCGCCGCTTCACATGGCACTTGAAGTCGTAGTGGTACGGCTTCACCTGACGCGGTGCGGCAGGAATGGCTCAACGAGTGAAATGCCACAGTCATCGCCCTGCATCTTCAATGCACACGCCTCTCGTAGGGAAACCACAGGAAAAGCTCCTCTTTCTCCTTTTTTTGTTTGATCCAACTGCACGGTACCGACTGATTGACACTGCAAGTGTCCTGTCGACTTCCGCCCTATGAACTCGTAGACTTCCGCGACATCTTTCGCCGTGCGGACGGACTCTCAAAACCTGCTTGTGAGGGGCCCAGCCCATTTCGAGATCTGCTTCCTTCTTCCCTCAAGAGCCATTTATTCATCCAACTTGGGTTCGCCCAAGCGCTTATTCCGGCGCCACGACCGCCGCAGGTCTGTGCCAGGGGGGACAGCGGCAAGGTCGAAGACAAGACGCCAGAAACGACGCCAAGGCGCACAGGCGCCCTCTAGCCCGGTGGAGGCAAGCACTATCCAAGGAATTCGACGCACCAGCCTCAGGCCGTCCACCACAACGTAGTCGTCCGGCCGAGCCGCAGGCTCGCTTCCTTCTGGGGCGACAGAGGGCCCAGAGTCCATTGCCGTAGACGGTATCCAGGGAACCCGACGGCTTTGTTACACACACCACATGCGTTCTTTTCGGCGTGACAAGGGCCGGGTGGGTGGGCGGGTGCCGCGTGCAGGTAGCGCATTAACTCCCCACAGGACGCGCCCTCTGGAATCCGAAGGTGAGACGAACTTGGGCGGTCAAGTACGCAGGCTGTGCACACACCACGGCGACAGGTGGTTCGTGTTGGCCGCTTGTTGCCCACGGCTTCGTCGTGTACATTTCTTGCATTTACACCTTGGCGTTTTGCTGCACCGGCGCGGCACGCAAGGATTGCGCACAGCAATTCGGCCCTGCCAAAGTGACCCAAAACAGATGCACAAGAGTAACTTGGTGGGGGAACAGGGGACAGGGGGGTGTCGGTGATTGGCACAAGGCGCCCTTGTGCCTTCCTTGGGGCATCAATGCCCGGGAATTGGCTACCTGAGATGCCCAGGGTGCATCTCTCCGTGGGCGTGTTATTGCGGCTCAGACACAGCGGAACGCCCAATGGGCAAGGTTGGTGTGGCAACGTGACGCGCAACATCTAAGCGTCCACAGCAAGGGGGCAGTCTGCTCTGCGCTGCACTGCACCCGCGGCATTGGCACAAATCAGTTAACAGCAAACACAGAAAACGTTTACATGAATAGGATGCCGGTACCCACAGCAGATGATCACACAGCCTGGGCGAATAATGGTGATGTATTGTACAATCTCACTATCGTGTTCTCCTTTCTCGTGGCGCCCACAACCCTTCGGCACACTGCCATCACGGCTCCTGCTGGCAACGACAGCACGCAAATTGCCACCAACCTTCAGAAACTGGCGTCTTTGCCACCCCACCGAAGCCGCCGCACACTGCGCGACTCCCACAGCCCAACCCCGCCATTTATTGGCATTAAAGTTCAGCTTGCGTCTGCGTTCAACACTGAGGCAGTCTGCGAGGCGCATGAAGGGATCATTCAAGCGACTCCCCCAGCGGAATCCTGGCCCCAAAATTGCAAATGTACAGCGAATTCAACGTGGTCGAACCTGGCCCAAACAGGCTTGGCGAGGTGCCACCCGATGGGCGGCGCCACGAGGTCAACCAGACCGCCTCTCAGTGGCGGGGGACGGCACCCTGCAAGAAACCGTTGCGAATCTGTTCCGCAACGTCGCTAACGGCAGCCGGAGAGTGGGGGATGAACACAGAGCTGGAGCGGCCGGTGGCACCTGCAAAAATAGACAGAACATACGCGATGTGTCAGAACGACAAGCGGAATTGGGGCTGTATCAACATGCACATTCTCTGGATTTTGAATTCTAGGGAATAGGTGACGAGTCCAAGCTCTGGCACCGAAATGGCAATGATGGAGCGCTAATTGTCCAGATTTCAAAATTTCTCCAATCGCACATAGCAGGGCCCAAAAATTCTCACAATGGCTTATCCTTTCGCCGAGGTGCTGGTATCAGCCAATGGACGGCACTCGACAATCGACTAGGGGTATCATATTACTCGTCAACGAGCTTTTGATGCGGAACACTGAACCTCTTCTTTGGAGACACCAGATCGTAGGGCATAGTCATGGTATTCAACAGTGTCCAAGCATCGATACATCGACATACTCTTTCAGTCATCCTGGTTCTAATTCCGCAGTTCCATTAAAAACATAAATTGGTTGCCCATTCAACCAACATACTATGCATTACCAAACACTCATAGTCAGGAGACAAAGATCGCACCATGCCATAGTCCTGCCCGGCCTTGTGCAGACTGCACATTGACAGACATTTCTTTGTTGCAACACATAATGAAAGATTCGAAACGAGAAACCAGCGGAGTACATTGGGGCCTCCAACAAGCACCAACGGCGGAACCACCTGCATCTGTACAGTGCCAATGCAAGCAACCAGACTTGCAAATCACGCTTTGGCAATACCAAGCATGACTTACCAATGTCCTTCATGGTGTCAAAGTACTGTGTCATCATCATCATCTCCATGACCTCTCTGTTTGTGATGTCATGCACATCGGCTGAGAATGCTACCACGCTCTCACGAAGGCCATTCACGATTGCCTGGCGCTGTCGAGCAATTCCCTACAAACCCAGAGAAGTAACACAATCATGATCCAAAGCACTCACATTTCCATGCATACAGCCATCTGTATGCAGTGCAACAGCCATGAACAACCGATAGTCAACACATAGCTGCTATCCATACATGCCCATTCTCACATGCTGGCCCTGTATTGCTTTGCGTTCTCAGCTCTAATCTAACGCACTCGTCGTCAAGGCAACAACTACATCCAACAATGCAAGATTCTTGAGAGGAGATGAGTCAGCAGCCTGGAACAAATATGGAACAAATATGGAACAAATACAGTGGATGGAACAAAGCTCCATCGCTTCGAAGCCACAAGGTCACTGCTTGCCACATCACACAACTGTGTTGACAAAGGATTGACAGCAGCACAGGCAAGCCCTCACTGGCAAGGCATGGTGCATCTGTTGTGTGTGTACTTGAAGCTCGTGCGGTCCAAGCACACCAAAACATTGAGCAATGAGATGCAACAGTGCGCCACTCCCCTGGCATGCTCTCAAAGCATCTATGTCGATCTTCACCAGCCTTCTGACTTGTGCACAGCCAACCACACCCAACGAATGCAAGCAAGTGCTAGTTTCAGAGACTTGGTCCATCGAGATGGCATTGCCCAATCCTCAGTGCATGTTCTCCATCATTGCTGTGGGTTTGCTTGATTGACATTTATGCCATATGCACTCATTATCTCAGTCCTTGCGTTAAAATTCTACCTGGCTAGCATCGCGAACAGCACCTAGCATTCGTGCAATACTGGATGAACATGCTCTGTCAACAAAAGTCCTCACCCACAGCCCATCAAGGCCAAAGCTGTCCATTGTGCAGATAACAAAAGCAAGTACCATCATGCAGACACATATGGACACCATTGCAACACTTTCAATATGTTGCCAAAGCGCTATTTACCTGACCAGCCAGGAACTTGGCTTCAGCCTCAGCCTCTGCTGCCTTGATCACTTTCACCTTTTCGGCTTCCGCCGTTTGAACTGCAGCTTCCCTAGAGCACAACACATGTCCAGCAATTTTGATTCTGGGGTGTCCATAACATTCATACTGTGGAAGTGCGTAGTGTATACACAGTAGCACATTGTGTGCAGACGGCGCATTCACAAAGATCACACCATATGTATGTGCCCCAAGGACGCACCCTTCCCGGGGCTCACAGATGCACATGCAGGGACATTGGGTTTCAGGAAGGTACTGTACTTTGCCTCAAGACGCCTGTCCTTTTGTGCAAGTAATTCTGTGGCTCCAGCATGACAGGGTTGATCACATTTGCATGCAGGAGGAGTCGTCTGTGCTAGGAGCTAACTGAGTTGAACAGATACAGTGTACCACTCCCTACAGCAGTGTACTACCACACAACGGTATGCTGCTGTGGCTGCCACCCCGTCATATCTTCGAGCTGTTGCATGAATGACATGGAAGTGCCCAAATCAGAATGGCAATCCATTATGCATGATGTGTTCCAAATCAGAACAACAACAGCGTGCTAGGTTTACCAGCAATCTTTCGAAACGATCAGTGCTTTGCTGTTGAGCCTGCTGAAAGTGCAAGCTTCCAACAGCTGCCAAAACTATGCATTACCGCCTCAAGTGAAATGTGCAAACCAAGCTTGCAACTGCCTAAACTTTTTAGGTGTTCATGCAAGGGGAAGCTGCCACACCTCAGGCGCTTCGAGGCGTTGATTTTGTTCATCGACTCCTTCACTTCATGGGCAGGCTCGATGTCTGTCACCTGAACAAGCAGCCATACCTCAGTGCCATCCTGTGCTTACCCCAGTCAGTGGTGCCCATGTCTCAGTCAACGTCTCCCCTCAGTGGACCACAGTGGAGAGGGAATGTCCTAGTCATACACTACCAGCTGCCACTCCCATGGCCCTACCAGTGTCTGTATGATGATGAATCCAAAGGAGCCCATCGCTTTGGTCAGACCATTCTTGACATCCATGGCGATCTCCTCCTTGCTCTGCAAAACGACGCTACACGTCACCATGTTGTGCATTTGTGTGTTGCGTACTTCATTGCCATGTTTGTGCAATTATAGAGGGCAGATTGAAGCTGGCAAGCAAATGCCCGAATTTGCTGCCACCAGCAACATGCCCACAACTGTTCACACATGTACTGGGCATCGGGACGACAACACAGGCTACCTTGGGAGGCAATGATGCCACGACATGCTGCAAGGTGACAAGCCAATCATGTGCCACTCGCCGTGCAGCAGAGGCCCAGCAGAGCTCAAGAGCTCAATGCCAACACCATTCACACAAAAACACGTGCCGGGCCTGGGTTTTTCATGGTAGGACGTGCACGAGTGTGGACAGAAAGCAAACCAACTTGCATACAACCCCTGACAATGGCTTCCTTCCCTGTGAACCTAGAAGGCAGCCACCACTGGCCTTGCGTGGCTCTCGTGCAGGAAAATGAGTTCGCCCTCAATCATGTGCAGCCCACCACATCTCTTCTAGGCAGTCGCCAACTCAATAGCGTGCACTTACGGAGAACACGTCGTCGAGGTCCATTTTCGGCACGGTCGCGCGGACGACGTCGAACACGTAGCTCCTGATTTGGGTTGTTGAGTCGGTCAACTTGTAGAAAGCATCGTAGATGTTCTCTTTGACCACCTGAAGTGGGCCCGGATGCGGTTAATTCAAATTGTGGCCATTCCCCTCAAGCAACCGAAGGCGCCAAGTTCCGCAGACGCCTGAAGCGAGGCGCGGTGCGCAGGTCGCAGGGACTGAAGCGTGCAGCCTCGCCACAATGGATTGGATGGAAGTCAGAAGTACCAACGCACTCGGACTTCGGAACTGACAGCGGTTGACATTTACGTGCTTGGGCGGCATGGGTCATAAAACCGCCAACACAAGGTGCTGTTGCGTTTCCGCGCGGGCGCTTCTGTGCGCTAACAGACAGGTTTCCTGCCAATTGCCTTAGCAGCGTGGCTGCCCCATCAACCACACTATGGCGTCAATGGAGACGCCGTAGTATAAGGGACACAACGTGCACCAGCCGCGCCTGAACGGCCCCTGACTCATCAAGCTAACTGTGTAGCCCCTGGTTGCGGCAACAGCCAACGACACCAAAGACAACAGAAACGGGCTTTCATATCGTACCCCGTACCAATGCAGCAGCATGGGACTCTCAAAGCGCTACGCTCGCGACACTTTCCAGGGGTGGCTGGCGCGCAAGATGGATAAGGTTATGCCAGGAATCAATTGCAGCTGCAGGTGCGCCAGTCTCCGGGACGGCAGGCCCCCGAAATAGAAGCCAGGCCAGCGTCTTCCCTCGCGAATGGCGTGCAGCGTTCCGTCACCAGAGTTGCCGTTCCGCACCGCGCCGCATGCTTGCCAATTCCACAGCTGGAACGCTCGATTGCGCGTCCCACGAGGCCAAACCCAAACCGCCCACCACGCCGATCGCGAACAAGTCCGCCGCCTGCCGCCCGAAAGCGCAGCGACCGGCAGCTTCCTGAGCCTTTCCCTTACAAAATTCGGCTTCCGGATCTGTCGATGTCCGCACGCGCGCAGCACACATTCACGCTGAGGTGCAGTTTCCGCCTTTTGCGTTGAGGGACCGCGACGATTGTGTGTGAATCAACAGAGTCGCGTGAACCGAGAGAGAGCAGCGGCGGGGGACCCCGCGGGCACGTCCTTGCCTGGTATTGAACGGAGATTATGATCTTCACAAAGACGTTGTCCCTCGTCTTCGTTTCGCAGCCGACATCCAGCTGCTGGATCCTCATGTTCAGGAGGCCAGCGGAGTACTCCCCTGCACGGGCGACCCGCGGGGCAGAGCATCACAGTCCAGCAAGGCGTCCCGCAGGTCGCCGCGACGCGACGCATGTTTTGAGGCCGCGCTTCGTGCGGCACTTGAACAAATCCTGGCGCCCGCAGGCTAAGGTGACCGGGGCGGGGACGGCAAGAGGAGATGGCGAGGCCCGCGGAAGCCACCCACCCAAGCAGCAGCATATGCAGTTGAAGCCGGGATGCGCCACGCGGCGGAATTTTCCGAAGCGCTCGACGATGCCCACCGACCCCTGGTCCACGCACGAGCAGCAGAGACCCATGTCGAGCAAGGGGGGGCGCCCGCCCGGCAGCCCACTCGCTTGAGCGTCGCCGAAGAGGTGGACGCAAGCAGAACGGGGGGTCTGCGTGTGTCGCACTCAGCAGGGACCGCGCCCCAAGAGGTGCTATGTGATGGCCTGTCTGGGAAGCGGTGGTGTTCGTATGGCTGTCACGCTGTGCACTGGGAGGCACCTGCATTCCGATCCAGCACGCGGCCTGTGACTACGCCCGGAGCCGTTCTGCCATCATGGTGCCCTTCCCCTGTTGTTCGTGGGGCCACATAATGGCCACCGTTTGCGGGTGCCTGCGGTGTTTACGGCCTTTGTGAAAACAATGTTTCGAGCCCGTGCAGCTGATATGTGGACATATGGCCGCACGGAGCCTTACAAGGCAGCCCCACAAGGTAAACGTAATCGACGTATAAAGCACGCTCCAAAAGTGTTTTCGCTCAGAAGCCAGCTTGGAGAATGG